CGTTCACATATTCAAGAAAAAGTATCACGAATTGAACTTGCTTCATGCCATTGTACGATTTCTAAATAAGATAAAAAACAAAACTTGAAATCAATAAATATTATGATTATTACAAATTTCACTTACCACCCTCACTTAAATTTGTATTTGCTGTTAGAACTTCTATTTCTAAACAGAAAAAGAACAAAAGATGAAAGTACATAATTATCTAATAGACGAACGTTTTGGAGTCAATACTGTTGGATCAATTTTTGATTTGTGACTACCCATGCTAGCTAATGTTTGTATTCGACGGTGAAAACGAAAATCTAAAAATGAAATATTATATACTATTTCGACTCTCCTTTTATAGTAACTCTCATGGTAATAAACATTAATTATCATTTATTGATAAATGTATAGTGATAAGATATATAAAAAACCAGGTTCGAGCAAATATGTTTTTTATGTTTATAACGAGAAGGACACAGCGACATAGAAAATGTAACATTAATACTGTACATATGTTTACTAATCGTAGCATTGAATAAAACATTTCACTTTGCATCTTATCTGTTAGAAATGACTTGAAATATGAGACTTTTGCTAATTTTTAAAAAAATTTCGAACTAAAATGAGGAAATTAGGTGTCGAAGAAAAATTAATATTTGCTTTGATTCCTCTGAATCTAAAAATAGCATGAATTATATAACGAAAAAAAAGACAAAAATCTTCCTTTATTTTTTTTCCTATTTACCTTTACTTTTAAATGAATATCAAACGAAAACCGTGGGTTTTTGTATGTATTTATTTTTACCATTTTCATTTGAATGATAATCAGTTTTTTTCATAAATATTACAAAAAAATATCGAATTACATATTTGCACTTTTCCCTTCATATATTTATTTTATCATCGGTCATACTCAATGCACAGCGCACTATATTACATTTTTTTTTTATTGGAAAAATATTTCACCTGTACAATCAAATATATATTTTTAGATATGGAAGTCCTTGATTTTTGTAAAACTAATAAACTAAAATATGAATTGTCAATAAACAAATTCGCATGTAAAGATATTATCGAACCATTAAATCTAATCGTACTTTTTTTTTTTTGTATGCACGTCTCAAAATGTGTTCATAAAGAACCACTTTGAATTAAAACAACTCATATATACTGACCTTATAAAAATCATACAAATAAGGATACTTGACACGATCAACTAGAACAAAAGACTTTATGTTGTAAATATCCGATTACTTTTAGCAGTAAACCAACCGCTTACAGTAACTGTCCAGCTGCACACAGAAATAGAAAAATCTTTCGTCAGATGTAAAGAGTACCAATTTATCTTTTTTCACAGATTAAAAATATCTGATAGTCTAGTTCACCTTATAAGTTATATTTTTACTAACTTAACTAGACAAACGAAGACAAAAAAAAATTATGGAAATAGATCTCACCACAACGCTATTGTTGTTAGAGTTCGTTTTTCATACAGTTCTTGAATGATTGGTAGGATAATCAAAATTTGGTAGCCAAGATGATATGAAGTTAGTAGATATTTGCATTCTTTGTGTTAATGGTTCAGTTGGATTCCGCAAGTCGAAATTTTCTGCTTCACAGTCAATTGTAAAGAAAATGTAAAAATTGAAAACAATTATGGAAAAATCGAATTTCTTCAAGCTCGGTATCAAGCACAAACGACCAGCTTTATCTAAAAAAAGCCAGTAAATCGCTGGTATTATGACGGTTTTCATCACATGGAAATATTCTTTGTTATGCAGGATGCCTGAATCTAATTTCTCAGGTAGGTTCCCTTTGGTTTGTCTATTGGATATTGGTATGTACTCCATAGAAAGACCCACACCGATTTATGTATTCTTTCGGACAATCGATTAAAGTTTTAAGTAAAAGAACAATACACACATCAAGTAAAGATATAATTAATATTATTTATCATGTATCTCGTTCAAGTAGCCAGTGCAAATATTGTGACAAACAATAGTTTAATAGTTTTTTATGTTTGTTTGAATATGTATGGAATAGATTAAAAATAATTTCAATTTTAAGAATTCTTCTCTAGTATATTTCATTTAAATGATAATATCTATTAATGTTATGAATTAATATCTGCTACTATATCTCAAGATGAATCCATTATTGTTGCATCATTGCTTGTATAAGTCAAGAGAAGAATCACGCGATTATCGAGTATATGACGTATTCGATAAAAAAGTTTCGTTTTTTTCTTGGATACCGACATTTTACTAGTATTACATCGTGATAAGAAAAAATATTAAACAATACTCGATAACAGTTCTGCATTCTATCCTGCCAACAAATCATTCAAGTTATCGATTCTAAATTAATCTAAAAGATAGCGACTTGAAGACGGAGCGAAATAAACTGATTCAATATAGTTCAGTATTGACCTGCTCAAGTTTTATAACGTCAACATGAATGAAAAACGGCTCTTCTGATAATTTTAAGATGTCCATTCGATAACACTTAATCTTCTGTCGAAGTTTAAAATCAAAGAGTTCCAAGTTGAATTTCATATATGTTATGCAACTATTATTTCGCACAGAATGGTAGAAAACTATTCCGAAATGATACTTTCGGAACGTAACAAAGTTCACAATTCTCTCCCTTACATAATGAATTTTGATTATATGACAATAGAAAAAAAAAACATGTTTAGCAGTTTTCATTGATATGACACAACTGCGAAGCAAAACAAATACAATATTCGAAGTCACTGTCAAAGACTGCATTGAATCAAACAGATTTTAGAGAACTTTTTACTGTCGAAAATTCAATTGTGATCCATCAAAGCTGCATTTTTTTAAAATTTTCCCCCGTGCTCCTCTATGTGTCAGCTTTCCACAATGAAAAACTTCTCTAAAAGGTGTTTGAGTCAATACTACTTTTGACACTGATTCCGAATATCGTTTTTTTTGCTTTTCAGCTGTGTCATGGCGATGAGAGCTACTAAAAGGTGTTTTTTTCCTGTTGCAAAATCATCTAAACTCATCATTTTAGAGAGAGATGTGAACTCCGTTTGACTTCGAAGGAACTATTTTTGTACAAAATAAAGCATTGCGTAACATATATAAAGTTCAACTTGGAACTCTTTGATTCTACACTCCGATAGCAGATAGGGTTGTCAAATGGATATTTTACACTCTTTAAAAGAGTCACTTTTCATTCATGTTGTCTTTATAAAACTTGAGTCAGCTAATAATGTTTTATATTGAAATAGTTCATTATCTACTTCTATATCTTTAATAATAGGTTATAAAAACATTTCAATGATTTCTTGAAATGAAAAGAAGCAAAATTTTGACAAGATATTTTTCGCTGTCTATTCTCATAAGGATATAATACTAGTAAACAAGTTAGTATCCAAAAAAATCAAGAAATTCTTTTATCAAATACTCGTACACTCGATAGTTTGATGATTCTTTTCTGAAATTATACAATCAATGATATGTAAGAATGACGAATTTATCCTGAGATATAATAAAAGATATTAATCGATATCTGTAATAGATTTTATCATTTAAATGAAATAATTTAAAGAAACTATTCTTAAAATTGAAATAGTTGTTCATCAATGAAGTATATATTCGAATAGCAAAGCAAACTATCAAACAGTAGTTTGTTACAATGATTTTTCGTATTATTACATTGTATTTTTTGATTTGAAAAATAGATAAATGTTCCAATGTAATTTTATTGCAAGAGTAAGACCGGCATTCTGAAACGATAGAACTGTTTTTGTAGTACTCATTGATTAGAAAAAAGATGAATTGTTGTTATAACATTTTGCAATATTAATTTGTTAAACCCTTTCCATTGAAACATCAACAAAAAAAAAGACAATATTCCGTAACTGGCGATCTTTGAAATCTTTTATTTAATGAAGCTAAGGTCGTTTCAGAAATGACCTAATATTCTAATAGCTTGTTAAAAATTAAACAACTTTTGCATATAACATTTATTTGTCTGTTGCTTTGTTTCTTATGAAAAATCCGCAACTCTTAGCTACCCCCCAAAAAAAAAAAATATTCATTTCTTTAAAATTTCATAACGGTGAGTATCGGTTGAATGACTCTGCTATGGCTAAAGAGAAATTGATTAAATTTTTTTAGTGGTAATAGATCTAATCTAAACAATTTTCGCTTGTAATAAAAATTCAGATAGTTTGCTTTTATTAATGAAAGTTTACAAGTGTTGCAATGTGAAAGAATAACATTCCGTAACACGTGGTCATGCCTTATTGTTTTTTGCTTTACCTAAAACCTTAATCGATTTGTGCGAAAGAATACACAAATTGATATGAGTGTTCTCATCAAACACACCTCTATATCTATTAGGTAGGCCTGAAATGAGTCTACATCAATAATTAGATTTAGACATGCTCCATGGTAAAGAACATTGTCGTGTAATGAAAGAAATTCAATTTTTTCAGAAATCTTTTCAATTTTCATACTTTCTTTACAGTTGAACGTGCAGCAGAAAATGTCAAACTATCTTGATTACCAAGTTTTCATCGTGCTATATATCATCCGAGAACTATATGAAAAACGATCTCTAATAATACTAGTGTTGTGGTGAGATCTATTTCCATAAATTTTTTTTATCTTCGTTTCTCTAGTTGAGTTAGTAAAAAATATAACTTATAAGGTGAACTAAACTATTAGATATTTTTAATTTGTGAAAAAAGACAAAATAATACTCTTTATATCTGACGAAAGATTGTTCTATTTCTGTGTACAACTGAACAGTTACTGTAAATGATTAACCGCTAGTTTCTTAAACTGTCGCAGTTTGCAATGAAATCTTCGATTAACTACGAACTACCACTAGAACTAATGTAATATTTACAACATGGATTCTTTTGTTCTAGTTGATCGTGACAAGTTTCCTTATTTGTATGATTAAAGTCAGCGTATGAGTTGGTTTAATTCAAAGTGCTTGTCTATAGACTCATTTATAGACCTACACATGAAAAAAAAAACAAGTTCGTCTTAAATTATTTGTTCGATGTTATCTTGACATTCGAGTTCATTTATCGATAATTCATATTTCAATTTATTAGTTTGACACAAAAATACAAGGGCTTTCAAGGTCGAAAAATATTTTTCTTGTTTGTACAGGTAAGATATTTTTTCCAATAAATAAATGTGATATGTTGTGTTGTGCATCAAGTATGACCTATAATGAAATAAATATATACAGCAAAAAATGCATAATATGTAATCAGATATTTCTCTGTGATATCCATTAAAAACTTCATTATCATTCGTATGAAAATCGAAAAAAATAAATATATATAAAAACTCATTCCAGACGAGAAATTTTGAAGTCGGATCCTAAAAAAAGTTTTCGGATCTGAGGATTTCCGGCAATAAGATCCAATAGTTCGAAAATTCTAGATACACTTAGAATCTAATATGAATTCTATTGGATGATGTCGAATTTACGTCGAGATATTGTAGATTGCTTGACACATATACACCTCATATCATCATCATTGCTTCTGGTGTCTTCCTCTCGTACAATTACCTAAGGATAAACAGTTTTAATGTACTTTATTTTAACTTATTATTATATTCATTTGTTTAATTATTAAATGTAAGAATATAAGACAAAAGTAAAATCAATAAGGTATATTCAACTTTGATTGTATTCATGCTGGATTACAATCTGAATTAAACGATACAATAAAAAACAAAAATTTTATATTCGTTGAATTCATTCTATCATTTATTCTTAAGTAAATATGACAAAAATAAATAAATAATATATACTCGCTTTTGATTGACTTCATCTCGTC